CAGGAATGTTTGATTCTAATGGTGATGGAGCGATAAATTTCAATGAGTTCCAGGTATGTCTCATTCTATCGCTTCGTCTTACACTTGCAATTCTTTCATGTTCTTAAAATAATTGGTTTTGTGATATGAGACAAGCAATTTTTTTCTGTTTCGGATAACATGCTCTGTCAGCTAATTACCTTCTCCATATCCTCGGAGAACATCCTACCCCATAATTGCCGTCAGCGTATGCTAATGTAGTCTAAAAAAGTGGAAATGCATGATCAGATTACTGGAGAAAACTTGTAATTTGAGTAGTGTGTTTGCCGTAGACGAAGAGCTCGAGTGTTGACTTTTCCATCTAACTCGAAATGACAAAACTTTCGGGACTTTCCTCAAAGTATACATCTCGATAGCCTTCCTGATCCATTGTTTTAGGCCCTGTGGCAGTATATAAATGACTGGACAAACTGTTTCCGTGGTTTTGATCTCGATAATAGCGGCAATATCGATAAATCAGAACTTCAGAATGCTTTGACCCGATTTGGTGAGTTGTATAATTGATATTACTAGTTTTTCTACTTATCAAAGGCTTTCGTTCCAGGATACCGCCTATCTGATCAATTCTATAATATATTAATGATGAAATTCGATCGAACCCATACTGGACATGTCAATTTTGATGATTTTATCCAATTGTGTGTGGTATTGCAGACCCTAACTGCTGCCTTCAGGTCAGTGAAAGAGAGATTGTACCCAGCAGCCAAAGGATACTCTCTAGAAGAACATCATCCCAGAGCCTCAATAAACATCTACCTTTCAAAAAAAAATGCCAAGTTAACAAACTTACAATACCCCCTTAACATCTGTTTCTGTCTCTTTGAACTTTAGCTCTAACTAGGCATGCTCTACTTTATTTTATGACACAACTTCTTCAGGAATCTAGATCCTCTGGCTATTTTTTCGGATAAGGCTCGGAACCCTAACACAAAACAGCTATACCTTTTGGCTAATGTTTCCTCAGCTAATCCCTTGATTTTTTTGATCCCACTTTTTGCTCATTGAGTAGTGGGTAACACTGTATACAAATAGATATCTTACGGTGGGATCAGCTCTGCCTGTTTACAGAAGTTTTTATGGCAAAGTTGAGGAGCGTTACAACTTTAGAAATAGCATAGGCAACCTGTGGTCGCTTCATCAGTAGGGAAAGGCGTGAGAGAACCGAAACCACTTATTATCTTATCATAGACCTTGTATCGTGCACTTTTCCAAGCATAGCAAATCTTTCATTCTTTGAAGACGATCAAAGGCTGCAATTTTTCCTTCAAACACTTCCAATTCATTCAGGGACAGCAATTTATTCAGGGACAAGGATATGGATCGTG